TCTACGCATAAAACCAGGCTCGGATGCCACTGTTGGGTAACGTAGTAATTTCAAAAAAATTCTTACGTACACGCAAGATCATGGTGATGACATAGCAACGAGAGGGGAGAGTGTTGTCCACGTACCCTCGTAGACCGTAAGCGGAAGCGTTAGCACAACGCGGTTGATGTAGTCGTACGTCTTCACGATCCGACCGATCCAAGCACCGAACGTACGGCACCTCCGAGTTCAGCACACGTTCAGCTCGATGACGATCCCCGAGCTCTGATCCAGCAAAGCTTCGGGGATGAGTTCCGTCAGCACGACGGCGTGGTGACGATGATGATGTTCTACCGGCGCAGGGCTTCGCCTAAACTCCGCGACGATATGATCGAGGTGGAATATGGTGGAGGGGGGCACCGCACACGGCTAAGGAACAATCCGTAGATCAATTTGTGTGTCATGGGGTGCCCCCTGCCCCCATATATAAAGGAGGGAGGGGGGAGGTGCGGCCGGCCTAGGAGGGGGCGCGCCAAGGGGAGTCCTACTCCCACCGGGAGTAGGACTCCCTCCTTCCTTGTTGGAGTAGGAGAAGGGGAAAGAGGGGGAGAGGGAAAAGGAAAAGGGGGCTGCGCCCCTTGTCCAATTTGGACTAGAGGGGGGCGCATGCCTCTTTCCTTTTGGCCTCTCTCCTCTATTCCCGTATAGCCCAATAAGGCCCATATACTCCCCGGCGAATTCCCGTAACTCTCCGGTACTCCGAAAAATACCCGAATCACTCGGAACCTTTCCGAACTCCGAATATAGTCGTCCAATATATCAATCTTTATGTCTCGACCATTTCGAAACTCCTCGTCATGTCCCCGATCTCATCCGGGACTCCGAACTCCTTCGGTACATCAAAACTCATAAACTCATAATATAACTGTCATCGAAACCTTAAGCGTGCGGACCCTACGGGTTCGAGAACAATGTAGGCATGACCTAGAACTATTCTCGGTCAATAACCAATAGCGGAACCTGGATGCCCATATTGGTTCCTATATATTCTACGAAGATCTTTATCGGTCAAACCGCATAACAACATACGTTGTTCCCTTTGTCATCGGTATGTTACTTGCCCGAGATTTGATCGTCGGTATCCAATACCTAGTTCAATCTCGTTACCGGCAAGTCTCTTTACTCGTTACATAATGCATCACCCCGCAACTAACTCATTAGTCACATTGCTTGTAAGGCTTATAGTGATGTGCATTACCGAGAGGGCCCAGAGATACCTCTCCGACAATCGGAGTGACAAAACCTAATCTCGAAATACGCCAACTCAACATGTACCTTCGGAGACACCTGTAGTACTCCTTTATAATCACCCAGTTACGTTGTGACGTTTGGTAGCACCCAAAGTGTTCCTCCGGTAAACAGGAGTTGCATAATCTCATAGTTACAGGAACATGTATAAGTCATGAAGAAAGCAATAGCAACATACTAAACGATCAAGTGCTAGGCTAACGGAATGGGTCATGTCAATTACATCATTCTCCTAATGATGTGATCCCATTAATCAAATGACAACACATGTCTCTGGTTAGGAAACATAACCATCTTTGATTAATGAGTTAGTCAAGTAGAGGCATACTAGTGACTATATGTTTGTCTATGTATTCACACATGTATCATGTTTCCGGTTAATACAATTCTAGCATGAATAATAAACATTTATCATGAAATAAGGAAATAAATAATAACTTTATTATTGCCTCTAGGGCATATTTCCTTGATAGGGATCATGTTCTTTAGCATCTTTATTTTGAAAGGCAATGCTTGTTTACTAGTATGCTTATGTATTATTGTTTCAATATCAAACTGATAGACTATTGCCTTGAATCGCTCGTGTCCCAATATTCATACCACAGTTACACCATTTGATTAAGTATATGTTAGGGAACATTCAACATCAAAAATTCGTTTGTTATCATTTACCTACTCGAGAACGAGCGGGAATTAGAACGACTTGCCCGCGCCCTCGGTGGGCCTCTTGCATGGATTGCCAAGCGTCAGTAATCCTTTTTCCGTGAGCATGCGCCAAAGATCCCACCACGTACGCACATAAGCCCACCGCCTGTATGCTCGTCCGATCGGTCCAACCGACCAAATCGTGACATGTCTCGCGTACTGCCGCGAAGCGGACACACACCTCTCGTTGATCCATCAATATGTGTGTATTGTGTTTTCTGTTTTTTTATCTCGTCGAGAATAGTGTAGCCAATGACAATGTCATTTCGGACTCGGTCCTTCCTTTAGACCAACAAGCGCGTCCTCAAAAAACTTATCCTGTTACCACCTGTTAGAATTTTTTTTAACTGAGTTAAACCTCTTTTCATTGCAAATGAACGAAAATACAGCAATTCCAGTATTCAGGGGGAGTGAAAGAGGTAGAGTGAGTTCAATCACTATCAGGAAATCCACTGCATTCGCCCGCCGTTAAAACGAATGCTATGGGACGAAAACCTGACAACACCAAAATAAATTCAGGGCACAAGTCGATCTACCGATGATCAAACAATCACACGAGAAACGACACCAAGATTTCTTACCGAGGTTCACCAAATATCAGGGGGCATGACCATGGCCACTCCTCCCTCCTCCCTGTTGATAGCGTTATAATACCGCGCGCCTAGCACCCCGGGGCCGACACATGTCATCGGCTAACTGCACTTGCGTCAATTATACCTGGCCATACCTCAGGCCAGGCCGGGCTTCGGGCCGGGCCTAGCCAAGCCTGACGAAAAAAACCCAGGCTCGGGCCCGGCCCGACCCGAACACGTAAAAGCCCGTCGGGCTTCGGGCCGGCCCGGCCCATCCTTCAGGAAAACGCGAAAACAACGGGGCCGGCCCGGCCTTCAGGTTTAAAATCTAGGCCCGGACCCAACCCGGGAGCAGCGTCGGGTCAGGCCGGGTCGGGCTTTTTCGGGCCAGGTCGGGCCAGGCCGTTCGGGCCGGGCTGCCCATGGCCAGGACTAGTGTCAATCAACACGCCCGTGCGTGACGCAGTCTCCTCTTTTCCCTGCGCCGCGACGAAGACGGATGATCGCCGGCTCTGATTGATGATCATCATGTAGCACGCGAAATAAAGTTGTAAACAAATGCTTCGACAGTGATTTCTTAAGTAGTCTTGCCGCTGCTACAAGTTCATACAACAGACACCCACAAAAACTCCAAGATGAAAAAGACAAGAAATGCTTCGCCTGCAGCCAGGCATCGGGGTTGGTTATGTGGGCCGTTGTTTCATCTCCATTTCACAGTTTGGGTCCCAAACCGGCGTTCACTTTCAGGCCACTACGGGATAGTACTTGTACTGCTACTAGCTAGACAGCCAGAGTGGGCCGCTGGTCTCATGGAGCGCGTACCGGCGTGGCGTGGGGGCGTGGCGGTGTGTCGGGACTCGGGACTTGTCCATTGCCTTGCCTTCCTCCTTGGTAAAACTCGGCGACTGTCGGTGGAGCATTTTCTTGCAGTTCTCTGGATCAGACCCCGCGACCGCGTGAACGGTCGATGAGATGAGTTCTGTAGGAGGAGCAGTGGTTTTCTCTTTTGAGACTGTACTCCATTAAGAGCATGAAGACGAAAGAGCTTAGTTGGAGTACGTAGTCCTACCTCTTTATTGCTACCTGCTGGAACCGACTAGCGAGCACAGCAATCGAGCTCACCGCTACGTTCTTGAGCTCTTGGCAGTGGCAACCAACGACGGGTGAACCATACACAGGGGCGTCTTTTGTGTGCCACGCCTGGTAATTTGCTGCGGATATCACCAGTTGATCAGGTTCAGGATCACCACACAAGTTCGTAATCAGCAAAACTCCGGATATGAACTTGTGCAGTGTCACCTGGCCCGGCTGCGGAATGAAACAAACTTGACACCGCCAAACAGTCAAACACTAACCAAAGCTCATCGTAACACGTGCTCAAAACCGCTACTCCCAAGGATCGGTAGCCTTCAAAACAAGCAACGAGTTTACGCTGCAAGTAGTGTGGCTGTACTCCTCGGATCTGCACTAAGCCTGCACAAAGTCAACGTCTGACGACAACATCATTCACAACACTCTAGCTGCAGCAAGCGAGCGATCATTCCTTTCACCAACCGGAGACAGTAACACGGGAGAAAAGGGAGAAACCGACCGAGCCCTTTCTTAAGCCTCTTTTTTTTTTTTGACACAGGTTCTTTCATTCTTTGGCCTCCCCGGCACGAGATGAAGGAGCCAAATGATTTTCCCCGCCTTTACCAAAAAGGTTCCGGCCGAGCACTTGGCCACCGACCACTCACGTCGCAACAAACCACACACTAACCTAATCGTTCAGGGCCCATCAACGCTTTAAACCAAAGTGGAAACGCCGGATCAGATTCCTGAAATCTGGAGCCACAGGCTTGAGATTTGCGCCACAAAACGACGTCCAGTTAGCTGCTCTCAACGAATTAAGTAGTGCATGCATTTGACACAATCTAAGTTTCCACGCCTTACCATATGATATACACCACCGAAAACATGCAAACAAAAATATCCCCTCGATTATTTTGGCAGTTTTATCGTATTACTATAGATAGAGTACATCTGTTTCAGATTTCGATCCTAACAGAAAACGAATGGAATCAAATAAGATATTCCCCCAACAGGCAAAAAAACAACAGCTGTACACAACCCGTCGCTGCATCTGGCGAGATCTCATCTCGTCTCAGCATCCGTCCCAGCAAAACCTCGACACACCCGTCACCACCATGCGGGCCTATATGTCAGTACCGAAAGGGCCACTCCAACCAGCGACATAAAATTGTCCACCTGGGCCCGCGCCGGGCCCATCCCATCCTGCGAGGCCACCAGGTACGGTGTGTCCGTCCGTCACTGCCCCTACACCGAGTCACCGACACCGACCCCGACGACGGCGACGCCGCAACCGAGCCGGGTCATGGGCAGTGATCCGGACTCGCACGACCGACTTGTCACTCCAGCGACCTGGGCCTCGCATTGTCAGGCCACGGCGGCGAGGAGGTCGTCACGGGCGCCGCGGCGGCGTAGCAGGTCGTAGGGCGCCCAGAGCGCGTCCAGCGGGCAGGGGCGGCCGGCATCCAGGCGAAGCCACGGCTTCCCCTTGCCGCTCCAGTGCAGCAGGCTCACCGGCCCCGGGTGCAGTTCCCGGCACTGCCCCGCCACGTTGTCGCCGCCGAGGCCGTGCTGGTTCCACCTGTGCTGCACGGCCTTCACGTCGCCGGCGAACACGAGGAGGAACGGCGGGAGAGACCCCAGCTCGTATATCCTGGCCTCCTGCTTCTGCACGTCCATCCAGTACTCGAGCTTGGCCGTGTACCCGCCAGCCCGCCACCTGTCGAGGTCGATGACCATGACCCCGGTGTTGAAGTAGCAGGGCGCGCGCGTGCGGTTGGCGAAGACGGAGGAGTAGGCGGGATGGCGCCAGAAGGCGTCGGTGAAGTAGAGGGTAAAGTTGGCGTTGCAGTACTCGGGCGCGGCGAGGGCGGCTTGGGGGCCGAGGTCGGTGGCCCAGAGGCGCGCGACGTCGTCGACGACGAGGAGGTCCGAGTCGAGGTAGAGGACGCGGGGGACGGACCGGGGGAGGATGTCGGCGAGGTAGATGCGGGCGTAGTTGAGGGGCTGGTCGAGGGCGCGACGCACGGAGGAGGAGATCTTGCCGCGGACGAGGCGGGCGTCGAAGCGGTGCACGGTGGCCGGGAGCGTGGGGAAGGCGGCGGCGAGCGCGGCGCGGAGCCTGGCGAGGCGGCGGGCCGGGGAGGCCGAGGAGGCGACGAAGTGGAAGGCGATGGACTCCGGGCAGGCGGCGTGGCGGAGCACGGAGAGGACGCCCGCGAGGGACCCGCGCAGGTAGGTGCCGTCGAGGGTCATCGCGATGTGGATCGTGGGCGCGCCCGCGCACCCCGCGCCGTTGCGGAACGCCGGCGCCTCCCTGAACTCGGGCAGCTCGGCCGCCGCCGACGACGACGACGACGCGGCGACGGCGGCGGCGGCGAAGAGCAGGAGCGCGGCGAGGAGGCGCATTGCGGGGCGGGGACGGATGGGAGTGTGCACCGCTTTATTATTCCCCTCCCATCCGAGGAGAAGGGGAAGGTAAAGAATCGGGGAGGGGGGAATGGAATTTGGATGGGCACGGCACCGTCGGCACGGGTAGGAGGGGAGATGCAGAGTTAAGAGGCGGAGACGGCGGAGGGGAGGGTACAGGCTGGAAAGAGGGCGACGTGTGAGGTTTCCGCGTGGGTTTTCCGGGGCTTCTCGTTGGGATTTTTTCGTGTTTTTCCGGACGTTGGGCTTTGGTGGTTACGATTTCGACGGGGAGGCAGACGAGACGGCCGTAGCAAGCCCGTAGGCTTAGCAGGCTGCTGCGGCTGCGTGATCTTTGCGTGCGCTCTTTTTTAGCGGTAGCCGTTAGCCGGTTAGGCCCAAAGCACCAGCCGATTTAGGCCCTGTTTGTCTCGGCTTTTACTTCTGTTTTTTCAATGATTTCACTTCGGTCAAAAAACTATAAAAAAGCTATAAAAGCTTCTAAATAGGTATTTTAGAGCTTTTCTCATTTTGAAGCTAAATATTGTCATAAAAGTTTTAAAAAACTTTTATGGCTTTTTAATCAAAATAGAAAAGCTGCAAAAGCAGAAGCAAAATCACAAACAAACAAGACCTTAGTTTAGCCCGACAGTGGGCAAAGCTTAGTAAGGCTCGCACAAGACCCATTCAAGGCTTCTTTTTTCTCTTTCTTTTAGGTTAATTGAGCACAAAAAAGTGTTTTTTTAACCGTGCTCTCACCATTTTCCATTAAAGCACAAGAGAGTTATCCAATTAATTAGCAAAAAACCAGGTGCAAACCTTACAAACTTGGCCACAACAAGCCAAACACAGACCAAACTCAACACAAAGTGCAAACTCCAACCCTCATTGTTGCTCATCAGCGTCATCGTCATCAACTGAAGTGCCCTCAAACCCAGCTGTCGCACCAATGTCGGATTTCGGGCTCCGCAAACCCAAGAGAGATTCGAACTCAGCGGCGTGTGCGAAGAACTCAACCTCTCAAGCCGATCGATCCGCTGATCTCACGACCTAGCTCGATGAACACGACAGAGAAAGACACGGCCGTTTACCCAGGTTCAGGCCACCTTGTGGTGTAATACCCTACTACTGCTTTGTGGTGGATTAGCCTCGCGAGGGGCTGAGGATGAACTAGTACAAGTGGAAGAACATCCTCAGGAGGCGTGTTCTTGTGATGAGCTCTAGGGATTCGGTCTCCGGGGGTCCGATCCTTCTACGGTTGTGGCTAGACTATATTTATAATGGCCTTGGTCCTCTTCCTTCGAAACTTAGGCGGGAAGGGATCCCACAACGGCCAAATTTGAAAGGGAACAAGAAGTACATATAATCTTGACGAAAGGCGGTCTTCGCCTACAAAGCCTTTGAGCGTGACCTCGTGGTGGGATCGGCGATGACATCTATCCTGCCGTTCTGGCGGTCTTGGTCTCGTTGCAGGCAAATGGCAATCTTTGGCTGATTCCTTGGGGCTCCACACCTGCGCTTGCCTGCTTTGCACCAAATAGGAAACCTGCCGCTCTGCGCCCGCTGGCGCGCGCCTGGCCTTGGTCGTCATGGCTGATGTCATTTCGGCCTCGTGAGGCTGGGTCTTGCATAGAGATATCTGCTCCGTCAGGAGGCCACCTGTGGCGGTTGCTCCCTCTGGAGGTCTTGATGTCGCCCGCCTCGCGAGGCTTGGCCCCTCGCGAGGGTCTTGTCTTGCCGTAGTTTAAGCTGGGTCGTACCAAGCCGTCGATGAAGCCACATCATGGGCAGCAGGCAGGCAGGTCTGGGTACCCTGGTTCCCAGAACGCTGACAGAAGCCCCCGAGCCCAAGGCGCGCTCGCACTTGGCTTCGAGGCGAAGCCAAAGGGCAAGTACGGAATGCCGCAGGCTCCAATCGCCTGCGGACCGAGCCGGCGCGTGGCGCTTGATGGGACGTGGGCATCTCCGCTTCCCCATGTCGCCTCGGCAATTGTTCGACTTAACGACTGCCTGCTGCATGTAGAGAAAACCATCATTACTGAGGATCATGGGAGGCCGAGATTTACCTTCTCCTAGCTATAAATGGGGGAGCGGGCGGAGCCCCTGCCCATCTTCGCCTTCTTGCTCCCTGCTTCTCCCTCCTCTTGCTCCACCGTCTTGCTAGTGCATCCATGGCACCGATCAGGAGGTTCTCCACAGGGGAGAAAGGGAAGGCCCCCGAGGTGGAACCCGCGCTGCTCCCGCCGAAGAAGAGGCTGGATCACTCCCGGGACAGTGCCGATGAGGCCGCAATGACACGGCCTTGGCACGAACGGGCCCCGCCAGGCTTCTCTATTCCTTTGTACGCACGCGTGCAGGGCCCCGCGCATGATGATCGGCGTCGCGAGGAGCTGAGCCGTGGAGGCGGGCAAGCAGCAGCCGCGAGGCTGCCTCCTTCGCGGACCCACGCCGAAGGCTCGGTCCGGGAGTTCATGGTGTGGGCGGTAACGCCGTCGCACACATGGATTTGCCTCCCGAGGCCCTTTGCGAGGGAGATACCATCGAGGGGACCCATCGAGCTATGGCTGCAACACGACGGATGCTGCAGCCTAGCCGCAGAAGCAGAGGTCGAGGTTGTGGACACCGGTGATGCCTTCATGACCCGAGGGTGGGGCACGATTGCTCGCGCGTGCCACCCGGAGGGAGGCCACGCCATCCACTTCGTGTATGCCGGGGCGTCGACGCTCTTCTTCAAGGTCTTTGATGAGGAAGGCCGCGGTTGAGCTGCTGCTCTGATGGAGGTGGCTGCGGTGACAGGGCCATCGGCGGTGAACTTGCCCTTGGCCTTGCCAGCGATTCCTCCGACAGCGGGGACGCCTCTTCGGACAGCAGCAACGCTTCTTCCGAGCATGACTCGAGCGATGACGTCAGCTACGAACCACCGAGCTGACGTGGTGTTAGCTCAGCGTCGTCGGTCAAGCCGTTGGGGCCGCGCTTTGCATTTCCCACTACGGCATGGTCCCCCTTTCATTCTCGTAGTAGCTTAGCGCTCTACGTCTCTAGGACCTAGTCCCTAGGCAGGCTTCAGTCGTTGCTGGTATGCCAGGTCATGATGTCATGGTCAAGGCCAGGAGGTGAGCGCCCAGAGGTCCGGTTGGAGCCCACGAGTCGCGATGCTCAGGAGGTCCCATTTGACGTGCAAGCAGCTCCCGAGGGACTGAAAAGGAAGCATCCTTGCCCCAGCGAGGTCGCGAGGGTCGTGAGGTTGATCATGAGACTGGTACTTTGCTCATGTTTGGAGACTTATCTTGGCGATCCGTGCTTATCTTCACACCGTGGTGGCAGCCTTCGCGTGATGCATGGCCGCATTTCCATAGCCGCGACAATCCTTAAGCGAAACTCGCATCGACCCCTTCCCCTTCCCTCATCTGGGTGCTCTACGTCCTCGGGTCCCGGCTCCCGAGCGAGGCTCAGCTGCCGCTAGTTGGTCAAGGCCAGGGGTGAGAGCTCGGGGGCCAGTAGGGGCCCCTGAGGCGCGATGCTCAGAGGCTCCCCCTTTAATACACAAGTGAATCGGGTAGGGGAAAGGGACGGCTGGCCTCGCGCAGGCGCCTTGGAGTGATCGTTGTCGGTGTCAAAACCGGCGGATCTCGGGTAGGGGGTCCCAAACTGTGCGTCTAAGGCTAATGGTAACAGGAGGCTGGGGACACGATGTTTACCCAGGTTCGGGCCCTCTCGATGGAAGTAATACCCTACTTCCTGCTTGATTGATCTTGATGATATGAGTATTACAAGAGTTGATCTACCACGAGATCATAGAGGCTAAACCCTAGGAGCTAGCCTATGATTATGATTGTTGTTGTCCTATGGACTAAACCCTCCGGTTTATATAGACACCGGAGGGGGCTAGGGTTACACAGAGTCGGTTACAGGGAAGGAGATCTACATATCCGAATTGCCAAGCTTGCCTTCCACGCCAAGGAGAGTCCCATCCGAACATGGGGCGAAGTCTTCAATCTTGTATCTTCATAGTCCAACAGTCCGGCCAAAGTATATAGTCCGGATGTCCGAGTACCCCCTAATCCAGGACTCCCTCAGTAGCCCCCGAACCAGGCTTCAATGACGATGAGTCCGGCGCACAAATTGTCTTCGGCATTGCAAGGCGGGTTCCATCTCCGAATCTAGAGTACCTGTTGTAGCGAATAGTGTCCGGCTTCCCATTAATGTTGTACTCCTCGGCTTATGTGCTTCAATAATGGTTATCTCCACATGTTGAGTGAATACGAGAAGTCGGGGCATTTTTATATTTGCCACCCTGACCATGTAAGTAAATCGTCTATTTAAAGAGACGGGGATCCTCAGATCCAAATCACACCATCCTCCCATTGGCAAGCTCTCATCAGAGCGCGCCCGGAAGAAACCAGCCAATCATGGCCGACCGTCGCAGCTCCTCCTCTTGCTCCCGTAGCACTAAGCCATGTGATTGGGAGAAGTCTTCTGTTCCCCATAGCCGACTAGTAGAGTTGCAGACCCAGGGGTCTCTTCCACCTGCATACATGGTCCCCGTCTGAGCCGGACTAGCCACCTATAATGGCGGGGAGCAAGCAGAGAGCTTTCCCAACCCATCTCAGGGGGAGCGGGTATGCCTTGTCCCTTATTTGCTGAGGGGACTCGGGTTTCCAATCCACCCGTTCCTCCGCGGGCTCCTGGAGTTCTATGGCCTCCAGCTGCATAATTTTACCCCTCCCTCCGTACTGCACATCGCAGGTTATGTTGCCTTCTGCGAGCTATTTCTGGGCTGCGAGGCTCATTTCGAGCTATGGAAGAGGCTATTCTGCCTCGTCCCTCATAATCAAGAGGGATCAATATATCAAGTGGGCGGAGCCGAAATATGGCGCGTCGCCAAGACCGGATACTTGCCCGGCACTCCAAAGAAGGCATCCGAAGACTAGCCCTCGGAGTGTTTTATGTAGAGTATGTTCCTCTTCCGGACCCAATTCGGACGGGCCTTCCCAAGTTCA